CCCAAAAAAAAAAAAAGAATGAAATGATTGGAGCCAGCCAGATAGCTCAGCAGACTAAAGTGCCTGCTTAGCCAGGTGCAGAGACCAGGGTTCAATACCCAGCATGCCATGCCAGCCCTGCCCCTGGGGTACACTGAGATGGCGACTGAGACTGGGTGTGGCAGTGTGCACCTGTAATCCCAGAACTTGGGAGGCTGAAAACAGGATGATAACTATGAGTCTGATCTGTGTAGTGAGACCCTGTAGACCCTGTACTAAATACATTTTTAAAAAAAGAATGAAGTGATTGGATTGGCTATCAACAATAGGGGTTCTCAAACTGGGCTAGAAGAATTCTTAGCTGAAATTGGGATCCATAATGAAGGCTAGTCAAAAAGAGTGCTAGGATGAGCTGAGTAAATCCTTGCCACATCCCATGTCCAGACCCCAGGCCTGCCAGGGTGGCCTACCCAGAAGTGCTGAGCTTTTAATACAATGAAGTTTAAAACAATATGGAGTGTTAACTGAAATGGGATTATTCTAATAGCTGAGAATTACTACAAAGTTAGAGAATGAGACTGGAATTGATTACTGGTGCCAGATACCTAGAGGTCAAAAATAGCTGCTTAGAGCACAGCTAGTCAGTAGCATCTTGAACATAGTAGATAGGAAACAAGGCTGAAAGAAAACCTGAGTGTGGCTTGACCAGCCTGACCGAAATCCTCAGCCAAACCTATCCCCCTTGAATTAGGCAGACGAGTGTCCCACCAGCTGCCCAATGTCTGCTATAAACTGTTCGACACTGAAGTGGGAGAAATAGATTTCAAGAGTCCTAAAACTGAGCCCCCAATCTGGAGATGTGCCTAGCTGGTGGAGAACACCTGAACATGCACCTAGAGAAACAGTACTGAAGGCCTGGAGGGACAGCCCCTGGTCTAGCCAAATGGCATCAGTACCTCTTGAAGCAATTTCCCATATAGAAAAGAAGTGCTCGGCAGCCACAAGGCTCCAGCTCTAATGAACCTCTCAGCTTCCTGGAAGAAGTGCTCATCCCAAGAAGCAACCAAACTGTGAGGTGCAAACAGGCGGAGAACAATGGTGTGAAATATGCAGCTTCGCCTGTAGCCATGGAGGCTGAAGAGATGGACTCTAAAGCTGTGAGAACTAGGATGCCTGAAGCCCCACGACCAGCAGGGAGGGAGCCACTCTTGCCCTCTGCTGACTCCCAGGCCCTCATCTCCTACTTGGTATAAAATTCCAGCTAGCAAAGAAAAAAAAAAAAAACAAACATAAACAGACTTGTGGCTACAACAGTTTTAAATTTGAAAAAAATATATGAAATTATTCAGGTCTGTCTACAATTGCCAGACTCAAGTGATCCTCCTGCCCCAGCCTGCTGACTACAGTGTGCCATCAGGCCTAGCCAAAGGAACCTTTAAAAGTTTCCTGAAAGGTGAAACTGACTGCACTTTGAGGAAGAAGATTCGCTGGGCCTCTTGGTTCCCCCCAGACAGCACTAGGAAGCACTGGTGCCTGCAGAGCCAACAGCCTGGAGGCTTTTATGAGTGAAATTGTGAGCCCAAGAAAGCTACTGCTTCACATGTCTTGGTGTCTGCTTCTCAGCCTGGAGATGAGAGACTGCAGATATGTGTTCCAGAAGGCACTCTAGGCTGGGCGGGGAAATCAAAGAGCACCGAGATGCAGCTTAGCTGGTGCATTGCTGCGCATCCAGAACTCCCAACAGCCTGGAACTCACCTTCATTTGCGGTCAGCATGCCAGATTTGGGTCCCAAGCTAAAATGCAACTCTGATCCCATAAGTGAAATGGAAATAATACACATCTTAATGGGTCATTTAGATACTGAGAATACAGTCAGATATACTGTAACACTTGTTTTTGTTTTAGTACAGGGTCTCACTACACAGATCAGACTTGTAGTGATCCTCCTGTTTTTCAGCCTCCCAAGTGCTGGGATTACAGGCATGCACAACCACAAACAGTCTCAATCGCTGGCTCAGTGCACCCCATGGGGCAGGACCACCACGGCAGGCCAGGGATCAAACCCTGGCCCCTGTGTCTGCCTAAGCAGGCACTTTAATCCACTGAACTATCTGGCCAGCCCCTGTAACATTTGTCTTTAAAACAGGAATCTGGCCCAATGCAATTGATGTAATAGGAAATTAATATAATGGGAATTGTGCTTTTAATTATGCAACTCATCCATGAGAAATATTACATGGATGCAGGAAAATGCAGCCAGTTAGACCAAGGCACACATAAATACATACACACACCTTAAGACATTTACCAGCTATCGCAGTGTGCCCAGTGTGCTGTGTGCCACACCTACTGACACCTGTATTATGGCTGTCCATCCAGTTTCAGAAGTTCTCACTACTTGTCACAGTAATTCCTAAGTGGTAACCCTTCTAAAACCCACTTCCATAAGCAAATTCAGGTCTTTTTCAAGTTACAATGCCTTACAATAGTATTTATGTGTTTAACATAGATAGAATTATCAGTTTTAAGTTCCTATTTAATGTGTCGCTAATACAATATTTTAATGGCATACATCTGTTACGACTTATGTTTAGATGTCTTCCCAAAGCCTCGTGTGGTTATCATTGGGACTTTTTCAGAGATTAATGGATCTAGAGCGTGACTGTGGGATTGATTCATGGTGCAGTGCTAGGCTCAAGGGCACTAGCGATAAGGGTATGAGTGCTACCTGTCCTGAGTAGCTTGGATGGAATACTCAGGGATAGAAAAAGCTGTGGATGTCCCTTGCTTATTTTTCTACCTTCTGCCTGCCACAAACCATTTCTTCTCTGCAACACCTGTCTGCCATGCCACCCTGCCATGGAACCAGCCAATTACGGACTGAAATCTTTACAAGCTGTGAACTAAACAAACTTTTCATCCTTTAACTTTGGGTGTTGAATATTTTGACTCAGCAGCAGGAAAACTAGATAGTACCTAGCCATATTTTCCCCATAAACTCTTGTGATTGTGCAATTTTGCATGGCATTGTATTTTTAGGGACAGGTATGTTGTTATATAACAAAACTGACAACCTATCCAAAATAATTAGTATTTAGTCAAATTCCAATGGCAGCCGCTACTATTGGTATTATCTAACCTCTAGTGACTGAAGATCACTTGTCACTTTTTCAGAGCTCTTTTCCACTTATGAATTTGTGTGTATCCTCATGATTTATACATGAATTATATTTCTGGTAATTTTTAAATGTGTAAACCATGGGCAACTACATAGTTTGCCCAGGATCACAAAGCCAAGCCATGGTAGATATGTAAAGACCTATTCCTTGCCCTCAAAGATCTCAAGAAAAGAAAATATAGGTATTAATTCTGAATCTGCATTCAAACAGGGTACAGCAGCATGTATGAAAGACCAGGCCATTTGAAGGTCAAAGGAGGAAAAGAGAGTATTTGAGTCAGGAAAGAATCCTTGAAGAAGTGAATTGGGAATCTAAGAAAAAAAAGTGGACAGAAAAATAAAATTACAGGATGGAGACAACTAGTGAATAGTGGGAGTCTCACACTCATGTCTACAAAAGCTGGCAAATAATGGGAATGAGTAAAATGCTTTAGGAGGGAACAACAGGGAGTTGTGGGGACCATAGTGTGCTCAGGTCCCAGCCAACGGGACAGATTCCAGTGAGCTCTAATTCATACCTGAGGAGATCTAGCATCTTTTTAAAAAAAAGTTTGAAATTTTAAGGGCTGATGATCTAAATTTTAAATGTCTGCTTAGGCAAGCGCAGGGGCTGGGGCTCGAACCCCAGGACCACATTCCACACTTGTCCCACCCCTAGGTATGCTGAGCTGGCCACTGAGACTGGGCATGGTGGTGCATGCCTATAATCCCAGCACTGGGGAAGCTGAAAACAGGAGGGTCACTACAAGTCCAAGCTGCATAGTAAGACTGTGTACCAAATACATTTTTTTTATTTTTAATTTTTTTTTATTTATTTGAGAGAGAGAGAGAGAGAGAGAGAGAGAGAGAGAGAGAGAGAGAGAGAGAGGTGTGTGTGGCCAGCTCAGCCCACCAGGGGGCGGGGCTGGCTGGCATGTGGTGCTGGGGGATTGAACCGCAGTCCCTGATGCTTTGCCAAGCTAGTTCCAAATAGGTGCTTTAGACCACTGAGCCATCTCTCCAGCCCCCCAAATACATTTTTAAAGACAGAAATTTTAATGTGAAATTTCTAGGTGCCTTTTTTTAAGTCGGGTGAGTTCTTTAAACATTGATGGCTCATTACAAACTCCTTAAACACTTTTTGAGTCAAAGTAAGTCAACTGCTGGCCAGCTAATATGAAACCTTTACTAAACTGAAAGGTCATCCCCAGGCCTGCAGCCAGCCCCATACAAAAAAGTTTGAACACTAATGGACACAAAATATGTTATTTAATGTCAATTTCTGCAAAGACACATTTAAGCAACAAAATATACATTTGTCAACCTTTTAGAATTTGTTTTATACATTAACAAATACAATGTGCTACCATAGCAATAAATTAAATGTACACTATTTACATGACATAGGCAGTCAGGGTCTACAATTCACCTCCTCACTAAGAGGAAAGAAGGAAAAGTCATCGTCACAGGGACCACTTCCAAGCTATACGTCTTAGGTTCTATCACACAGGAATCTCTTCACACAGACGGCAGCACTCCCTGAGCTGGAGTGTTAGAGGGTAACACCCAAGACACAGGAGAGTTGGCACACATGCTAAGGAGTGGGAAGGGGAGTCTCACCCTTCCAAGCAGAAATGTCACAAAAATCAAAGACGATGGCAATTAAGTTCCAGTCTGCAGTCAAACCTCTGCTTGCTGGGGCTGGTCTGGCAAAGGACAGAGCACTGTCTACTAGACTCTCCCCAGATAGGGCTCTGCTGACCTTCACTCTAGGGGACTGCCTTCTTTTCAAGGGAGCACTTGGCCACCCTGAAAGGAGAGGCATGTGAGGTTGGGGAGGGAAAGGGACTAATGGCTTCCAAGGCTTGGCAGTAAAATGCCCGTAGGTGCAGTGCCCAGCCCTTGCTTTTGGTAAGGGGGTACCTAGAGGCTGGGAAGCGGCAATGAGCTTCTCAGAGCAGTAGACTGGTCTGGTCCATGCCAGCCTGTGGAGCCATAAGATCTACTTGAACCCCCAACAACTCCCCCACAACAGACTGGTCTCTATTGACTAAGATACACTGAAAAGGGTAGTGTTTGAGCTGGCACCTTCAAGGGTCAGGGTAAGGAAAGTAAAATAAGCTGTGTCCCACTTTTATTAACAACCTTCATTGAAGTATCAGGAAGAGGCTGGGGTATAGCTTGGCGGTAGAGCCCTTGTCTAGTATACATAAGGCCCTGAGTTCCATCCCTACTACCACAAGGGGGCACGAGAGAATCAGGGAGAAATAAAGTTTCCTTTTTCCTTCCATCATAATTTAGAGCAACAAAACCAAGAGCGGCTCACTGTACCTTTGGCCTGGCCTCTACTGCTAAAGAACGAAGAAGCAGTTGGTCAGAAATCTTTTTCCCTTCCTGTTTTCTTTGCTCAAGTTGCACCCCAAATCCAGGGCCCTTGCTGACCAACCTAAAAGAGCCCCCCCACCATGAAAACAGCAGAGCCTGAGGCCCCATCAGCACACTGCTACTACTGACCTCGCCTAGCCAGTGCTTTGTGAGGAAGAGATGCACCCCGAGGAAGTGCAGCCGCCTGCTCTACCAACTATGGAGCTGGGTGTGGGCTGCAGTCCCAGCTCTGTCACTAGCTAGCTGTGTGACCTCAAGCAAGCTCTCTCCCCTCACTGGAGCTAAAGTTTCTCATCTGGACAACAACGTGGCTGGATGAGACGCTACAATGAGCCATAAGGGCTGGGCATCAAACTGACGCCCATGAAGCTGAATACGATCCAGGAAACACTGTTTGACATTCATCACCACAGACAGGCACTCTGGCTAAGACCTTCCGTCTCAAGCTTTGCTGCATCTGCTTTTAAACATGAGCACAGCTGGAGGCTGCTGGGTGCCCTAGGCCGCCTGGAAAACAGCTTCTGCAGTGAGTCAGATGGCCTCAGGGACAGAGATATGAACTCCTCATGAAGGTCACATTAAAAAGGCCCCAAATGCCAGTATGAGCACCATCTACCCAGGCCGAGCCCCATGATTAAGTACAGAAATAAGAGGAAATACATTTTGGATCAGTGTGTGGGGGCACAAGCCCCTCAGGAACATGAGACACCGCCCACAGCCCAGAAGAGTGAAGGCAGAAAAGACCCCATGCCTGTTCTCCTCTCAGCATGGGGACCTCAGGCAGGCTGGCAGTACATAGTGGAAACTACAGGAAGGACCTTCTAGAGATGGTGAGGCATGACCCAGAGGGAGGGGTGTGTGAGAGCCTGCCCTGAGCACCCCAAAGGTCAAAGAAGAGTGGAGACCACGTCCCAGGTCTACGCCTCTGTGGGGCAGGCACACTTGTGCCTCCCGGTTCCTCCGGACATACCCTGCCATCCTCATCACTGACCTGGAGGCACTACTGGGAGGAGAGGACTGCGGAGGGTGACAGGAAAATAGGAGGTTCCCCCAGCATGACAGCATGAGAGTAACTTGGAAAGCCCAGAGGACTCCTTGACCATATTGCAGCATGGCACAGCCACCAAACATCTCTAAATACTGGCTCTTCAGAGATGTGAGCCAGAATGCCGTAAGAGTGTTCAAAGAAAATACAGTTTGACCTTTCGAGTTCCTTCAGAAACCCAGCCAACAGAACCCTGCCAGAATCCACAGGCCTCCATCCAGCAAAGGGTGCCGCTACACTGACTTTTAATAAAAGCTAAACAGATATTTTGTTGACCTTCTAACTAGATAAATCTTACCAAACTAGTATTGTATGTAAGCACATTTCTCAAGGTGGGGGAGGGAAAGAGGGGTCCCCTGGGCTGCAAGTAGGATCCAATATGAGAATAGGGAACAAAAATTATCAAAAATTTGCCCTAATGGCAAAAGCAATGGAGAAATAGTTATGATGTCAGTCCAAAAAAAAAAAAAAGTGTGTCCCATTTCTAAGCTTTGGCTTGCTAGTCCAGATCCCTAATACAAATAAAGCACTTGACTGGAAATCTTGTCATTTGTTCATTAAAGCAGGGAGCCCAGGCTGTGTCACCTCAGCAGCCCTGCCCCAAAGGCGCATATGCATTTGAGGCTGCAGAACCTCCCAAGATCTGTTAAGATTCTGTGTTTTCCCTGGCAGACACCCTGCCCTAAACCCAGCAGCAGAAATGGCCTACAGACTCGGACAGGCAAGGATCCAGCAGGGCTGCTCCCCAGGACAAGCTGGCTCATCATCCCAGAGAAGGTGGCACTGGTACGGGGCAGCACGCAGTGACTTAACCACACAGCCACATGAGGCCTGGCTTGCAGAAATCTTACTGATGTGACAACCACCTACAGACCTGCAGCTGGGAAGCGAAGAGAAGAACCAGGGAATCATGCCCCTGACACAGTCAATGGGCACAGAAGCCAGGAGGAGCCCCTGAGGCAGCACTGCCTACTCCTCAAAGGGCAGGGCACAACTGCAGAGGGACACTGTGTTCCTCCCCACGTGCCTAAAATCAACCCCGGCACACTGGCCCAACCAGAACCTGCTAAGTCATCCCTCTTCTATCCCTTTCCCTCTCCAACAAATGGGTGCTTTAAATAACAGTTATGTCTTCCTTGAACTTCTATAAGCATTAGAGATCTGGATCCCACAGACCCTGGCTGAGCCCTTGGCCCCTGAGGTTATCAACCAGTGATCTCCCAGCACTGGCTCATTCATTTTCCCTGAATTCCTTCTCCTTTCCCTGAATTCCTGGCTTCCCACTCCTTCATGGGGAAAAAAATATCTGCTCAGAGGGGAGCGATTGCCTAGGGCTTCTTCCACAGCTAGGATACTCAGAACCTGCATGAAATTAACTAGGAGAAAAGTTTCATTACAGTCAAGGATGTGTGTGGCAATGACCCCAGACACATCCAGGTCTGTCTTGGAGCTTCCACCTGCGAAAGCCTGGCTCAGCATGCACTGACAGTGGGAACAGCACAGCCCACTGCCTGTGCCCACAGAGAAGTCTAAAGTACTTAGCCCAGAGCAGGGAGATGTTTTGGGAGCTCCAGAGAAACAGGAACAAAGGAGCTGTTTTTTATCAGGACAGCCTGGAGGATGCTATGAATTCTGGCTCTCAGGAAGCAGACCCTGCACCCCTGCTCCACACACGGGTGGTGGTAAAGCTCCTTTCTACCATGCCCAGGAGGACACTGCACTGTGACAGAGGACAAACAGAGCACACTTCATGCTGTGCTTTCCCCTCTGCTCCCCACCCACCACTCTCTCTGACTCTGAAGCAGATGCACTCTCACACCTCTGGCTGAACCCCTGTACTAAGAGCCTCCCTTCCCAACCTGTCTTTCCTACACACAAACAAGTTGGCGAACATTCCAGACAGACAGCACACTGGGAGGTCAGGAGCAGGAGAGCCTCCAAAAAAAGGTCTTGTCCAGAGATAAAAGTGTGTTGGCAAAGGACCCGGAAAGACTGTGACCAGGTCAGGACGCAGGACAGACAGCTGGTCTGGTGGGCCTGTGACGATCAGAGTAGTGGACGGCACCCCCAAACTGACGGAACAGGAGCCTTCTGCAGGACAGAATCGGGGCTTCCCTGGAAGAAGCAAGGCAGGAGATAGTGAGCACACATTTGGCAAAGGAAGAGAGGAAGCACACCCAGGACTAAGGGCTGGGGCACACACACTACCCCTGACTGTGGGCCACTGACTACACTCCGGATGAGGATGCCAAACACAAGGGAGTCCAACTTTATTCACACAGCCCCAGAAGCTGGGCATCAGAAGCATTTTGGTAAACAGAGGCATGCAAAATCCATGACAGGTGGTGATGGTGAATACGGACATTCCCATTTTTTCTTTTTCTTCATAATACATTTAACACAAAGTGGGCTTCCCTTGGACCTGACTGTCTCAGACCCCTGGGAGCTCCAGACAGGAACATCTGCAGTGGTGTTGGGGTTCAGACAGTCCTGACTTCATGAGAAGTTCAGGCCTGCCCTGCCCTGCTGGGACCACAAGTTCATTGAGTAGAGAGCAGGTATGGGGGCAGAAACCCCCTTGGGCTGTCTCTCACAGTATCTGGGGGAAGGGGCACCCCTTGGCATATAGGGAGGGCACATTTCAGCCTACAGCTTTGTTCAAAGACTCAAGAAGAGAGGGAAAGGCCTCCTGAGAGCAGAGAAGCCAGGAACGAGCTGAGAAGCTCTTCCCTCAGAGAATGAGGTGGGCCCAGGGCTGCCTCTTCTGCCTGCTGGAAGCAGGGTCAACCAGTAGGAGCAGACCTATGTAATGAGTCTCCCCTAACTCCATGGGCAACCCTTTCCATCACACCCACAGCATCAGCCTGTTCTGCCCTTGCAGATGGGGAGAACTATCATAGAGGCTGAGACACTGTGGGGACCTCCTCAGCTGGCAGGGTCTCTCTGGCCACTCTCAGGTTATGAGGCCCTTGGTACCAAGCTCTCACCTCATGGCCACCCCAGGACAAGCACTCACTCACCTCACCTTGGACAGGAGAAGAATTCTTCATTCACATTAGTGACCCTGTTTTAGGAAATATCTATGAGTTTTAAATAACCAGACAACCTGGCTTCTGTGCACTCAACTCTCAACAATATGATTACCTCAAGAAGGGCACAAGGCCCAGGAAGCCAGAAATTCATAACTCCTATGTGGGCATAATTGTGCCCAAGGCTGTGATGTAAGAAATGTGGCAAAGTAGCTGGTAGGCCCCACGTGGGTGCCATCACCATGTAGGGTCAGATAGCATCAACCCCAGATCTGATCAGAGCTATAGTCTCTCCACTTCCCTCAGGTGACGTTCACGTAACAGCTGAGTTGCACTTCCCCTGAAGCTTTCAGGAAAGGAGGCTGCTCAGAGGGGATATGGTAAGGAGCTGTCCCCACACTCTGGTTCCTTACCCCACTGGAGCTGGCGTGGCTGAGCTTATCAAAGCGGAATTTCAGGTTTGATCTCGGGGAATTTCTGCTTTTGCCATCTATGAGAAAAAGAATTCCCATGAAAAGGAGGTGGTCAGCATGGTACTGGCAACAAAATAGACCTGAGGATCAATGGAATAGATTAGAAGATGTTGAAGCCCATATAAACACACTCAGCCACTTTATCTTTGACAAAGGGTCAAAACATACTCACTGGAAGAAAGATAACCTCTTTAACAAATGGTGCTGGAAAAACTGGCTCTCTACCTACTGAAAACTAAAACTTGACCCAGGTCTATCACCATGCACTAAGCTAAAGTTAAAATGTATTAAAGATCTAAACACTAAAACAGAAACACTAAATCTCCTGGAAGAGAAAATAGGAGGAACTCTTGAAGACATACGGGTAGGCAAAGAGTTCATGAACAAAAATAAAATTGCACAGGCAACACTTCAAAGAATTAATGACTGGGACCTCCTTCTATTGAGAAGTTTTTGCATGTCAAAAGAAATTACCAACAATGTGAAAAGACAACCCACAAATTTGGAAAAAATCTTGACAAATAAGCTCTCAGACAAAAGTCTGCTCTCTAGTATTTATAAAGAACTAAAAAACACTAGGGCCCCAAAATTTAAACACCCAGCCCAGAAATGGGCATCTGAGATGAACACACACTTCTCAGAGGATGAAATTAAAGAAGCAAATAAGTATATGAAAAATGCTCTACATCACTAGCCATCCATGAAATGCAAATTAAAATAACACTGAGATATCATCTCACCCCACAAATAATGGCTATCATAAGGAAATCAACCAACAACAAATGTTGGAGAGGCTGTGAGGAAAAAGGAACCCTTCTCCACCACTGGTAGGAATGTAGACTGATGCAACCGTCATGGAAATCAGTGTGGAGACTCCTTAGAAAACTAGAACTAGAAATCCCATTCAAACCAGCTATTCCCCTACTGGGAATTTTCCCAGAGGATCTGAAAACATCATATCATAATGATATATGTGTGCCTATGTTTATAGCAGCACAATTTGTGGTAGCCAAATCTTGGAAACAACCAAGATGCCCATCACCTGAGGAACGGATGAAAAAGATGTGGTATTTTTATGCAATGGACTATTACTCAGCTATAAAGAATGATAAACTCGAAGCCTTCATATTGAAGTGGATGCCACTTGAAGATATACTCATAAGTGAAATAAACCAGACACACGTGTAAATATCGCATAGTCTCCCTAGTGTAAGAACTCAAAAGAAGAAATACAAACCGAAAGTTATAACACAATTAAAAAGAAGGCAAGAACGTGAGGACTAGACAATGAAGACAGAGCAAGGAAAAGAGCTACAAAACATGACAGAGGCAAAGCCATGCATTTATATGTACAAGATGGGTAAGGCAATGATCCTGAGAATCTTCAGAAGATTTTTGAATCTAGCAGTTAATTGGAAGGATTCTCACTCTAACTATATATGCTGATGCCTGTGAACTAAGCAACTGCACTGAAGATGGCAATTTGTAATGGTAGGTTCACGCTTGGAGTGCCTGTCATTCAGATCTTCTGAATATGTGCTGTTTGTCATGGCACGCCGTTCACTGCCGTGCTGTCTCTTGGGTAGATGTTTGTTTAAAAAGGAAGGGGGTGGTGAATGAAGGCAGGAGACAGGAAAAGGAGTGTTACAGGACTGTCCTGCTACAATACTGTACATGGTTAGATTTCTAAACTTATGTGTAAACGTGTATAATTGTTTATTCCTATTTTTAAAATATATTTTAATTTTTAAAAATTTTTTTCATCATATTCTGTAGGGATTTATAGTTTAACATATCAATACTTGATGAAAAATACCTGTTCCATGATATGCCTAAAATGTTTTGATATTCAGACAGATAGTGAGGTTAAGCTCAACAACCTAGGTTGTATAATAATAACAATAAGCTTCTCTTCTGGAGGGTTAACAACCTAAGTTTGCAGACCAAAATTAGAGAAAAAGGAGGGCTGCAAGGAAAGCCAACATTTTGGCCCTAGCCTTCCAAGGTCAGTTAAGACTCAGGACATATGAGAACCTGTACTGTAACATCATGTAACTCAGTTGTGTCTCAAATTTTCTGATCAAGGAGATTATGGGGCCAAAGAGGAAAGTTGATCAATGATGTAGAGTGTGCCTAAGGAGAGTCACATGGAGAGAAAACATTCTCTCAGGCTTTCACAGACAGCAAACTGGTCAAGCAATGGCTGTGAGTCATCCACATGGCTGACACAAAGGATCTTTAAATTGAGATACAGGGTCTCAGGATAAACCCTAAGGGAATTTGACTGACCTTATCAGATACAAAAGCTACAATTCTTGTTACATAGGTCTTGCTTTACCTTGGTCTTAACCATCCAGCAGAATAGTATAAAAATGAAGTATAAGAAGTAAAGCCATGGTGTTATGTTGAGCTGTAGGGGACTCAGGTCAATAACTTCAGACATTGCCAGTCATGCGGAAGACCCAATACTATTATGGACTACTGGACTATTTTGGAATATTTTGCTGAGTTCACACACCTATAACACTTAAACAATGGAACAAAAAAAGGGGATACAGATGAATGACCATTTTGTATCTGTGTATTCAAAATGGTTAAGATAGATATACAGCTACATTCTCTTAATTCAAGGAACAAAGGGATTTGTTCTAATAGTGTTTGTAAATAGGATATCATGTCTGCATCTTGTACATCATATAACCACTAGGAAGACAGTATGCAATGTGTTAATTATTGAAACTGTCCTACTAATTTGATTTGAAACTGTCTCATTGCTATTTCTCAATAAAATTATGGAAAAAAATAGGGTGGTAGAAAACACAGCTAGAGCAAGGAACAAGGTCTGGAGCCCAGCAATTAAAGAGATGACTTTTGAGGTCTGCACAGTCCTATGGATAACCCACTATGACTACTGGACTATATTGGATTATTTTGCCGAATTCACACACCTAAATGAAAAAGGGGGATATAAATGAAGGACCATTTTGTATCTGTATATACAAAATAGGATATATATACAGCTACTTTCTCTTAATTCAATGAGAAGATTTGTACTAATAGTGTTTGGACAGGATATCATGTCTGCATCTTGTACTATGAATAACTACTATGAAGATAACAATATGCAATGTATTAATTATTGTAACTGTCCACTATCCTGTTTTGAAACTGTCTCATTGCTATTTATTTCTCAATAAAATTAATAATTAAAAAGAAGAAAGAAAAGGAGGTGGATCTATAGAGGTCGTTCTAGCTGAACAGGGTGTTGGGAATCAAGCCATTCCACTTTTTCCTGGTATGCTAGCCTAGACTAGGAGTGTAGCAAGCTGGCTACTACCCACAGGGCATTCTTAAAAATTAAATTGATAGGCTTAGAAGTAGAAAGATTATATTCAAAGAAAATAATACTCAAATTTACTTTCTCATTATTTATTGTTTACTATTATTACATATTCTCTTCTGTCTGCTGTATCCAGACAAAAGAAATACCCTATGAGAGTGGCTGCATATATGTTGCCAGGGATATCATGGTGGTAGCTTAAAATCAGCCATCATAGGAGTATTTGCACCACAAAAATTTGCCAGTGCTACAAATCAGAGCTTGACTTGTAATTTGTTGTCCAAACTTAAGAAATGATGGTGAAGGGCCAGTGTGCTCGGCAGACTTAAGTGCCTGCTCAGGCAAGAGCAGGGACCAGGGTTCAATCCCCAGCACTACATTCCATGCCTGCCATGCCCTCGGACGCACTGAGCTGTGTGGAGTCCGAGCATGGTGGTGCGTGCCTGTCATCCCAGTGCTGGGAAGGCTGAAAACAGGAAGATCACTATGAGTCTGAGCTGTGTAGTGAAATCTTGTACCAAATACACTAAAAAATAAAAATAAAAATATATTTTTTAAAAATGGCAAAAATAATGTGGATTAGACTTCAAAATGTTGTGTACAGCCAGGTGTGGTGGTGCACACCTGCCATCCTAAGAAGTCTGGGGCAGAAGGATCACAGGTTCAATTGCCCAGTCTTGGCAATTTAGCAGCTTAGGAAGATCTAGACTCAAGATAAAAATAAAAAAGGAAAGGGGATGTAGCTCAGCAAAAAGAGCCTACGTTTGATACCTCATACTGCACAAAAATGCATACCAAATACATAAACAAAAAATAAAAACAAATAAAAGGGCACCTCTGCTATATGCCCATACACAGGCACACACTGATTGTAAACTTTACTAATATAATGAATCAGAAGAAGAGTTTACAAATAATGATAAAGTACACAATATTCCTTATTGTAAATCCCATATGTCCAACTGATTTCCACAAGACATTTCCGTTGGTATTTCTCTTAACTGTTGTATCACAGCCAGCTTAAGGTTGCAGATCACGAATGTGGTTCCAACATGAATGCTGCTTAATGTAACTTATGTAAATGAATGTGTTTACTAAGAGAGTTTTATTCCTGTGTGGGTGATATGAGCGACTTCTTTGCTGAATTGGAGAATAGTTTTCAAATACTGGAATATTCATTCAGTCTCTTTTAAAAAATTATTTATTTATTTACTTACTTATTTCTTTGATACAGGGTCTCCCTACGCAGGTTGGACTCAGAGTGATCCTCCTGTCTCAGCCTCCCTAGCACTGGGATTATAGGCACGCACTACCACACCCGATTTTGGTGGCCTGCTTGGTGGGCCCAGGGCGGGGCCAGCACAGTATGTGGTACCAGGGTCAAATGCAGGTTGTTGTGCTTGCCAGACAGGCACTTAGACTGCTGAGCTATCTTCCCAGCCCCAAGTCAGTGTCTTGATGTAGCTCAGAATGTAATGGCTGCAGACACAACATTTTTTTAATTTTTACTGGGGATCAAACCTAGGCTGTTTGTGCCGAGCTACAACCCCATCCCTTTTCTATTTCTGTGGTGGGCTCAGTGTGCCTGGGGGCAGGGCCAGCATGGCATGTGGTATCAGACATGGAACCCCCGTCCCTGCACTTGCCTAAGCAGGTGCTTAGTCCACTGAGCTATCT